GCTATCATTCTTCACAGGCATGCCGGAGACTAAAAATAATTTTAATTTTGTATCTCCAGTCACCTAAATATTTGTGATTTATGTGTGAATTTTATTAACACTGTCCAGAACACATAACTGTTGAAAATACTAATCACAAAGTATTGACCATCCATTGTTCTCTCAAAAAAATAAAAAATAAATTTTTTTTTTTTTTTTTACAAAATTGTCATTTTGGCGTGGGGTTGCAGGACTGAGAGGCTGCTCTCGCCCCTTGCGGCTATCAGTTGTGGTGGAATTCCTTCTTAAAGCCCTCGAGTGGCACGTTCCCTCAGGAACGTGAGGCAGTCCAAAGCGTTTGGCCCAGGGGGCACCCCTCGTTTGTGTTGTGTCCACGTGGAAGCCCTCACTCCTTCCAGACCAGGCTGTGGAGGGAGGAGTGCTCTCAGGGACATCCTGCAGCAAGGCCGGTCATTCTTATTGTCCAAAGAATGACTGCGCGACGGAGTGATTATTGCTACTTCTTCGACCGGCTGTGCTGTTGTACGAATAATTTATCCCCTGCTTCGAAATTTCTACAAGGTTATATTGCATTGAATTTTAATTTGTCATTTTTTCTGCTCCCACTTCAAAAACTTACAAGCTTTTGTGACATTAAAATATGGTTCTAATTTATTAGCATAATCTGTTAATATTGTTTCATTTTAATAGACATTAAGTATGATTTCTTAACATTCTTGTTAAAATTACATCTTAAAATTGAAGTCAAGAAAAATCATATGTGGCTTAAGAATCACAGCGTCATGTGTGCCCCAAATTTTTATACGAAAAGTGTACTATTTAAATCGCATCCTGTTTGAGGTGCTTTCGCCGTGACCATGGGCCAGCCTCGCCTTCTCAGGGTCAGTAGCCTGCAGAGCACAAAATCGCTCACACACAGAGCGGAGCAGAGCGTTCCCTGTGTCACGGGTCCTCTGCCAGAGCCTTTGAGGTCTTTACACAACAATAGAAACAAGACACAGAGCACCCAGCACGGCCAGCCCCGTGTGAGTGTGGAGCGCCATTTCAGAGAAGCCTCGAGATTGCACGTGAGCGCCACCGGCCGCCGCCACGCGGCTGTCCCGGGGTGTCCGCACGAGCTTCCCCGGCGCGCCGCGTCCCACCCCGCACGGGCTCTTTAATGCCATCTTTATCTGCTACGCGATGCATGAAATCTACTTTCGGCTTCAGAACCGCAGGCCACCTTTGACCCCTCTCGTGGAGATACAATGTGACCTTTCTATTGTCATCAGCTTTCATTCTCCTGAAAATTCTATGAATTTTTATTACAAGTTTTTTTTAAGCCAAGCTGAGGCTTCCACAAATTACTTGACGCAGATGAGATGAAGTTGTTGAAGTGGCGTGAGATAAGTTTTACAGTCGGCCTGGGTGCCGCCAAGGCGTCCGGGCCTGTGTCCTGCGATGTCATACGCCAGTAACTGCTGAGCCTGCTATTGGATAAATACATCATTTTATGGAACATTGATTGTTCTATAAACCCAATGGAGTATTATGCTCTATGATCAAACCATTTAGATTGTGTGTAGAGCACAGAAAATGCCATATTCAGGATGGTACTAAAAGTGCCATTTGTGTATTTTATGGATGTCATTACAGGGGAAACTTCTCTCTGTAGGCCCTGTTTACTGCAAAATTTTTTAGTCTGTAATGACATTTTTCATTCACAACGTATGCCTTCAAGAGAGGGGGCCCTTGTTTTATTTGTTTCATTCGAGTTTACTGCACAAATTCTGTACATTTTAATTAAATGTAAGCTTAACCAAAGCATAAGGTATTTATTCTGTGAAAGAGAGCAATGACAGTAACAAAAGAAGAGCACACACACACACACACACACACACACACACACACAAAGGAAGCAGTCAGGTGCTCGAGCCCACGTGCAGCGTCCCAGAAGCCCCCCGACAGCGAAACGGGGCCAACCCCGCGGCTTTGGGGGTACAGGCCTCTGCATCTTAACCCCACCTCTGCTGGTGTGACACTGAAGTTTTCCCCTCCAAGGACACCCTCTCCAAGAAGGAACTGGGGCTCCGAACACTATCCTGGAGAAGGCAACCTAATTTGGAATCATTTTGTGGAAAACAAATCCTCCATTCCCCAAAAGCCCTTCCCATTTCAACCACGTTGTAGATGTTGAGTGCATTTAGCTACGAGAAGGGTGTCCATCTCTGTACTCGCGAAATCAAATGGGCGGTAAGTTAGAATTTTTCATAAACAGGCAGGAGGCTGCATTTTAACCTATCTGCCCCTTCTGCACCGGGCGATTTATGGTCCTCATACAAACAGGTCCAAAAAGGCTGAATCAGATGCACGATTTGATCGCCTGCCGTGACCACACTGACACCCGACGTGGTCTTTGAAAGATACAAACCATAGTGCGTCTGCTGTGTCGGGCATCCGTGCTCCGGTAAAGATTGGTGTGTTTCTGGACTGATCGCGGTGACTAAGCCGTGGAGGGTAAGCCTGTACAAAGTTCCTGTTTTCCAAATACTGTATCCATTTGGCCATTTGCATTGGTGAGCTTTACGGTTCGTATTTACAGGAAAGAGCTCAGAAATTGAAGTTGATGTGCCCAGTAAATTCTTGGTCATAACCCAGTTAGAATTTAAAGTTACAGTAGAGATTCACATTAGTTTAAATGACACTTGAACTTCTGCGTAGCTCCACATTCATTCATTATGGGCGAAATGGAAGAATCTTCAGTGGGTGAATCTTTTTCAATCTGATTGAGGCTGTTACATTTTATAGGTGCTATTTTTCAAAGCAGTACTGACAGCCCTCGAAGTTATTAAATTGCTGAATCAAAAGATGGACCTGCACTCGCATTTATGAACTGTGATGGGGGAGCGGGGCTCGCGCCGCACCGAGGTTAAGACGCTGGTGGTGTCAGGCTTCATCACGCGCCGTTGTGACAGTAGTGTTTACCCATGTAGTTCGCTTTAATGGTCTGCAAGTGGTTTAACCCACCTCTGGATTCAAATAAATTCAGTAAGCAGTTCGGAATAGCATCATTATCAGTACTGCAGGGGATGCAGAGGGTAATTCGACACCCAAGAGATTTTCCGTCCAGCTGCAGACTGAAGAAGGGAGTGTGGGGGCTCCGGCCTGCAGGCTTTCCTTTGGAGACCACCAGCGCGCAGGTCGCTTGGTGGCCCCCCCCGCCCCCTCCCCATGCATGCTTCCCCTGCTATGTCCTCTTTTGTAATTAAGGGTTGACTTCAGGCTGCCTTCCTTACTTTTGTGTCCATATCTCTTCATGTCTTCCCCCGCCAGACTCTAAATTCAACTGAAAGTGACCTTGAAGTTAGGGAGTTGGACAGAAACAAGCAAATCAAGTTCAGGGTATGATGATGACAGAACGGGCAGAAACAGACCGGATGGAGTTCAGGGCGTTAAAGACAAGCGGGACGGCTACGTCCCAGGTGAGGTGGAGGGGAGGGGAAACATCGCAGGCCTAGCGGAGGACTGGCGAGTACGGCAGACCGGAGGCCCAGGGGTCCCCACGGACGGCTCACTGAGCACGCCGGCAGCACCTCCAGCGTCCGCTCAGGCGCGCGCGGATGTGTGTACACAGGGGCCTGGAACGCCCTGTCCTCACCTAGCCTGCTGCTGCCCACCGGGCCTCCTGGCATCTTTGAAGACAGAGATTTTAGGGAGATCTGAAGTTCAGGAGATAAACTGGGAGACGAGGTCAAAGTACCGTGATTCAGTCCTTTCTCTCAAGGACCCGCACAGATAACCTGCGCTTGTTCTTGCCTTCTGAACTTTAATCTTCCCGAGGTGAGTCTGTCCTTCGTAGAGCAGGAGAAAGGGGGAAGCAGAAGGCGGGAGGGAGGGATATCCCAGGAGGCCCGTCCCTGGGCAGGGTAGTGCCAGTGCGCAGGGCTGCCTCCCGGACACTCGCCGAACAACAGAGCGTCGCGGCTAAAGCGGACACGGGACGCTCGGGGGTTCGCTTTGTTCAGACGTAGCGCGGGCGTCCTGCTCCAGGACCGTCGCCCACAGTCTGGGTGTGAGCCTGGGCGTGTCCTCTTGGCAAGTGGGATGGAAGGCTTTGGCGGCTGCTGCCTGAGAGCCCGCACCCACTGGAGACGGGCCTCGTCTAGGCTCTGTGCTCAGCGTGGACCCCAGTGACAGAGGTGTGCTCTCGTGGCAGGGCCCTGACGTGGAGAAAAAAGTGCTCTTGTCTCTCAGGGATGCCTGCAACATGCACTCTCACCGTTTTCTTTCCTTTGGTAAGGGTCAGGAGTGCTTTTTTAAACTGACCTATAATTTAGAGAGTATGTGGACTGTTTCAGAACTGCGGTGGCCACTGAGATAGGAGACCCTCCTGTGTAGACCACTGACGGGCCGTTCTCTCATTTCATGCAGAGGAGGCTGCAGTAAGGACACTGGTAGAAAATTTGAAATGTAAAGATGAAAATAGGAAGTCTGCTCAAAGAGTCAGTCTGTCTTGATGGGAATAAAGATTACCGTTTTCAGTCCTATTTTACCCTGTCAAGTTATTAAAAGAACACTTGTGTCACAGGTGGCGCTGGGGAGAGGGGTGTGTGTGTGTGTGCATCCCGTGCCCTCCACCTGCTCATGAACTCACAAAAAGATGTGCCTTTGGGTCAGAAGACATGGCCCCTGCTTACCGATCCTCACTTCCCGCCAGTGACTCATGCCTTGTTGGGAATGACCGTCACTGAGGGGAGTAGCCACACTCCTTCCCTCAGAGCCGGAAGAGCACGAGCTGGATGGTGGCCATGGTGTTCAGATAGTCCAGCCAGGAGGACGGAAGGACACCTGTTCCTGTCGCCCCTTTCTGCTCCCACAGCGGGAGCCCAGCCACTGGCGTCCGCGTACACAGCGGGCCTCAGACGGGCCCGGGGCCACAGCGGAGTGCGGCCCGCTGTGCTGTTTCTGCTGAGGCATTGTCTTACTTTGTCTAGGCTCTAACTGGTCCCTGTCTCCCATAGGCATCGTGTCCAAGTCCTACGAGTGCCGTTTGAAGGGCCAAGGAGCCACCTTCGTGGAGACGGACAGCCCCTTCACGGCGGCCGCCCTGGCGGAGGCATCTCCCATCAAGGAGAGGCCCCTGAGGAGCAGCAGGCGGCCGGCAGCAGCGCCCGAGCAGGTGCAGCAGCTCATCATCATCCAGGGCTACGACGGCGAGTTCGCCCTTGACGCCTCGCTGGAGGAGACGGCCGCGGCCACGCTGCAAACGCTGGCGCTGGCCGGCCAGGTGGCCCGGGTGGTACACATCACGGAAGACGGGCAGGTCATTGCCGCAAGTCCCAGCGGGGCCCACATGGGCGGCGTGGCGCCCGGGCCGGTCCTGCCCGAGCCACTGGCCGACGGGGCCACACAGGTGGTGGTCGTGGGGGGCTCAGTAGACGGCCACGGCGTGGACGAGCCCCTGAGTCCGGGTAGCGCCATGATTCATCAGGTGACCAAGCAGGAGATTCTAGACCTGACTGAGGCCGGTGTCCCCCCGCCCGACACGGCCTCGGCCTTGGATGCCCTGCTGTGTGCAGTCACCGAGCTGGGGGGTGCGGAAAGCCGGGCTGTGCCCCGCGAGAAGAGCAGGTCCGGCCCCAGAGATGTGCTGGTCCAGCTGCCCGGGCAGGAGGTGCCCTCCGCCACCATCCAGGCCGAGGGCCCCGAGATCCACGTGTTCCAGGACGTTCGGGGGGGCGCGGCTGCCGGGGAGCCCGTGGAGGTGCTAACCCAGGTGGCGCGGCCCTCGGCCATGGCCGCCCCGCAGGAGCGTGCCCAGGTGGCCTTCAAGAAGGTGGCGCAGGGCGTGCTGCAGTTCACCATGTGCGAGTCGGCGGCGGCCGGCCGGCTCCTGAAGGAGGGCGTCACGCAGGTCATCGTGAACGAGGAGGGCACCGTGCACATGCTGGCCCGCGAGGGCTCGCACATCGTCATGCAGGAGGCCGAGGCGCACGGCCAGCACGTGGACCTGGCCGAGCCGGACGGCGAGATCTCTCAGATCATCGTGACGGAGGAGCTGGTGCAGGCCATGGTGCAGGAGTCCGCCGGCGGCTTCCCCGACGGTGCCACGCACTACATCGTGACCGAGCTGCCGCCAGGCACGCAGGACGACGCGGCCGTGTACTCACACGCCGTCATCGAGGCGGCCGGCTCCCGGGAGATCCTGCAGGCCGGGGCCGCGCTCAGCGCCGAGGCCGTGGTCCCGAACGGACCGGAACAGCTGACGAGTATGGTCATCTACACCCAGGACGGCTCCCCCGCCGCGACCGTCATTCAGAGCCAAAGAGAGAGGAACGAACTCCAGGAGGCCTGAGGCCGCCGATCCTCACGCTGGGCCCGTGTGTGCGACGGCTCCCGGACAGTGGCACGGCCCTCCGGAGGGGTGGCAGCCCCCTCGGGGCCCGGGGGGCACGGAGCGTGCCTCGGGGATGGCCGGGTGAGGGGTACGGGGAGGGGCTGCTGGAGCGGAGCCTGATTCCTGTTCGGTTCTCCTGTGACTGGTCTTTTCCCTCTGTTCTGGCCACTGTGCTGAGAAGTCACGTTGTTTTCTGTTTCCACCCCCTGCCCGGCCCGCAAATGTTTTCCCATTTCTGTTATCAAGGACCGTGCCTCGTGGTGGAGAAGTCCGAACGGTGTATCTTGCGGCCGGAGACATGCCTACTCGTGCCGTCTAGCATGGAGCCCTTTTAATAGTTTATTATAGATTTGGTTAAAAACTGCCGCTACAGGTCCTCCCGTCCTTGTCTGTTTTTCTGAAACCGTAGGACCGCAGTGCCCCCAGACCAGAGGGAGGCCTCGCGGCCCATCTCGCGCGTCAGCTTCCTCTCCCCAGACGCGGCGGGGCTGTTCCTAGCTCTGGTTGCATCTGCTGGAAAGAAACCTCAAGCCTATGGTTGAGGAAAGCCTTGATTGTTTCTATTGGATGAAAATATACCTTGGTTAAGACAACCCAGTGCTTCTAATTTTGACTTCATTTCATACAATAAAGTCTATATATGAAATGTACACTCTGGAAAATAGTGTTCATACTGATATTTTGCTTTTATGATGACTGTTTCTTCATACTGATGCCATTTTTGCAGGGTTTGTGATTTACATCCGTGCGAAGGAGGGGGCATTAACCGTTAGTAATGGGACGCCGTGCCCCCTGCAGCCCTGGCCCCGACCAGCCTCGTCCATGTTCGGTTGTGGGTTCACTGCAACCGCGGAATGCAAGGCTGTGTCCTCACAACTCACTTAGCCGTATGATCGCTCTTCTTCCTTTTCCAAACCTGTAAAATCAATCCCTGTCCCCAAATGCAAAGGTTGTTTTTGTTCCTTTTATTTTCCTTTGAAATAAAATTATAGCATTGAACGAGAATGAGGTTCTCTTATTTCCCGCAGCCGGCCAATGGGCAGCTGTAGAAACCAGAGAGAACGAGGCCTTCCTCCGACGCGGCAGCTTCTCCTCCCACTCTGGCCCCGTCCGGGGCGCCGCCTGCGGCCTCGTGCTGTCCTCTGAGGGTTTGGCACGTGGCCCAGGCACATTCTGGTGACAACAGTTTATTCTGTCACAGTTAGTATCTAAAAATGGTGAGGAGCAGACATGAGAGAAAAGGAAGGGAAAACAGTACCTTCTGAGTGTAAGGTCCCTCCCTGGGAGCATAGGCTGGGAACGCACGTCTCCCAACCTGGTCCTTGTCGCTCTGCCATCTGGCCATCCCAGGGCCACCTCCCTTGAGATGGCTCTCCCTTCCCCCCAAAAAATGAAAGGTAAAATTTCAAGTGTGACACTGAGATTCATAATTAGCTGAGTATGACTAGCTCGTGCTTCTTAAAAACGGCAGGGCGGTCGGCTTCTTCTTAAACACTTGTCTTCAGCAAACAGTGACAGGATCAACTCCCATTTGTGATGGGGATGAAGGTGACCTTTATAAAGTGATGCCCCCCCCCAGCTTCTCATACACGTTTTAAAAAGAAGAAGAAACACCAGCAGCAGCCGGGGGCTGGGGATGGGGGGAGGATGTTTTCCGGTGGAAATAATTCTTCCCGATCATCCCTCCCGTTAGCAGCGGCTCGTGGCCCTCGGCTCAGATGCTAATTCCTAGCGGCGCTCCGTCCTGTACGGCTAACCTTTCTGCCCGAGTCCGGGCTGTCGGCACCGACATGCTGCAGTTTACCGTTCGTGATTTATTTAGGATAAATATGTCTCAGGTGGCATTTAATCCTCCATAAAACCAGTGTAGCCTGCCGTGTCAAACCCGCAATCACGTCGTGCGCAATGGAAAGAGCAGGCCTTTGCATAAAAAAGCCGCACAGAAGGTGTTCCGGGGCTCGGGAGGATTGCAGAGGATTCACTGCTAGCGTATCCTGTAATTACCTGTAGCGCGGGGTTCGCGCTCCCGCTCTCTGCTCTCTCGTTACCCAAGTCCCGGGATGTACGGGAGTCAGAGAAGCACATACACACCCGCGTGCCACAGAATAGTGAGGCGTGGCCGATGCTGTGACCCGGCGCACTTCCTGCAGCGGGGAGTGTCCGCCAAGAAGACCAAGGCAAGCTTCTAACTCCCTCGGGGTTTTAGCTAAAACAGTCATGCTTTATTTTAGGAAAGCAAAAAACAGAGCAAAGTAGTTACCTGGAGACCGTCACCCAGAAAGGCCATCTTTGTCCGAAGCTGTAGCCCATTCAACGACAGACGGACGTCCGGCCTGCGGGGGGCCACTGCCCTGCCACGTCGACATGGAGGGATCATTCGAGGTCCACCTTCTGCGCCCGAAGCTTGCCGGGCACGGTGGGGAGTTAGACTTTAAGCACCGCCTGTCATTGTCACGAATGCCGTGGCCCAAGCAGGCGCTCCTCTGGGAGGCTTCCGGAGCCCCCGGACAGTTGGAACGGTGGGAGGGCGGACAGGAGGATGCCCTGAGACCTCGCCCCCACAGCATGCAAGCAAACCAGCCCGCCCACCCCGAGAGGTGCCGAGGACAGCCTTTCTGCCAAGAACCAAGGGAACGAGCTACGGTCGCATCCCTGGACTGTGGCCGGTTCCAGACATCAGCTCAGGCCAGAAACACGGACCCGGCGCCCTAGAGGACATACGGTGGCGGGTCTCTGCTCAAGCCCCTCATACATGACGGCGGAGACGCTGTGGAGGCCCGAGGCCCACGGCCTGGGAACCCGGCGCCCAGCACAGTGTTCGAACCTCTACACTCCATCAAAGCTTTTGTTTCCCCGGGCAGAGAGGGAGAATCCCGGCACCTGGGGGAGACCCGCGGGACCAGCTCGGAAGCCCGGCCCAGAGCCGGGTCTAGGACGGGAACTAGGACACCGGGCAGGTCGTCTGCACAGCCAGCCGGGAAGGGAGCCGCAAGTTGTCCCTTCTTTCGCTGCCGAACATCCGCCCGTGACTTCACGAGCACACAGTTCACTTAAGCGACCTCCTCCTGTTCCATCTTGTTGAAGAATACAATCCGCTTTCCACTCCTCTAGGGCGAGATCATTTTACATGAAGAAAAAAGTTAGCTCAGATGGCAGTTATACGTTTCGGAAGCACCTTCTAATCAGGGATTGGTGATTCATTATTAGCTTCAGCAGGCGATCCATCTGACATGTAAGGGGAAAAAATTAGCAGCTGTCACTGCGTGATGAGTTAATTTCCTGATAGGCCTGACACTGAAAAGCCATTTGGAGACGTGGCAGTGGCTGACTACAAAACCTGGCGCTGCTTTATAATTGAAGATAAAGAGCGAGCAAAGGAGCGGGCCGGGGGAGGGGCCCGCAGGGCCACAAGTGGGGGCCGCTGGCACTGCGTGTGCCCCCCCAACCCCGGGGCATTGCCGTGTCCAGGGCTGGTGGCCCCTGCTCTCACCCCGGCCTGTCGTCCTGTACCCATGTCCCCCTGTGAGGTGGGAGAGTGACACAGGTGCCTGACATTTCCACAGAAGGGCAAGAGCGTGATGTTCTCCTCCTAATTGTCCCCTTGGCAGTTTTCATCATTGGAGCTCAGGCTTTCAATCGTGGGATAATGCTTTATCACCATAAAAAGTAACACCATGAAACAAGTGTTGTGGGAACTCGGTGGGGGGGAGGGTGGGACAGCCCAGGGGGGTTCGCCGTTCTCGAACCTCCCTCCAGCCCCGCTCTCGAACTGCTCCCTCCTCACACGGGGTCCCTTCGCAGCCTGCGCTGAACGCAGCACAGAACTGCAGTGTCCGGTCGGTGGGCGCTCGAGCTGGGCGTGCGAAGCCAACACATCTTAAGGGAAGGACTTCCGCAGCCTTCGTGGCCGAGGGGTCCGTGGTGGGGTTCTAGAGCTGGGATCCGGGTGTTGGCACCTGCACCCTTGTGGTGTTTTCAGAAGAAGATTCACAGCATCATGAAGACAGCTGAAGTGCCCACCAGAAGCCGGGGGTAAGCGATGTCATCCCTGCTGCCTGTCTTTGCCTCCAGGTCTGTCCCAGAAATGAAGCAGACACCTCTCAGGGAACCTTCGCCTTGAGAAGTAAGCATGAGATAGGGAACCTCGTTTCTCCAAAACTCCTGGGGCCCTCAGCCCGGGGCAGGATTCAGCTTTCTCTTCTCTCCGTGGGACCAAGTGTGTGAGGTCCTGCAGGCCTGGCCTCGGCGGAATCACCTAGGTAAGCACATGTCACCAAGGCCCGTTACCAGATTCTGATGAATTCATTCTAGATCACTCCAGGAATCACTTGCCTGTTACTCCGTGGCCCTGCATTTTCAATACCTTTTAATAAATCCTTTTTAAATGAGCTAATTCCATACTTGGGGGGTATATATCCAATGGAATACTACACAGCCATCAAAAAATGAAATCTTGCCATTTACATTGATTTGGATGGAACTGGAGGGTATTATGCTGAACAAAATAAGTTGGTCAGAGAAAGACAATTATATGATTTCACTCATATGTGGAATTTAAGAAAGAAAACGGAGGATCATAGGAGAAGAGAGGGAGACAAACCATAAGAGACTCTTAACTCCAGGGAACACACCGAGGGCTGAAGGGGAGGTGGGTGTGGGGGACGGGGTGACTGGGGGATGGATATGAAGGAGGGCACATGATGGAATGAACGCTAGGCGTTATACGCAACTGATGAATCACTGGCCTCTACCTCTGAAACTAATAATATGTTACATGTTAATTAATTGAATTTAAATTTAAAAAAATAGAATGACCAAACTCGGGCCTGGCTCCCAGCCCCGTGGAAGCTGACTTGTAGCTGCAGCCAACAGGAGCGCGTGGACGGGTCCGCTCTGTCGGCACCGTTGTCTGCGCTCTCCGGGACACCTCACGTCACCCAGTTGCTTCGTAAGTAGAGGGATAAAAACCGATGCAAAGTAAAGTTCTGTGTTTCAGTTTCCAAACTGCATTGGCGTCTAGAGACGAGGAGTTGCACCAGCCGGCTGGGCAGCGTTGGTTGGGAAGGGGTCCCTCCGCAGGACGGCCTGCTGTCCCCCAGGGCCTCAGCAGATCCTCATTGCCGTCCTGCCGGGCTGGAAATGGGGCCAGAGTCTGTAAGGAGACGCCACAGCCCGGCTTGGCCCCGGCGGCCACCTTGGCCCCACGTTAAGGGCAAGGGGGTATTTTAACTGCAGAACCACTATATGCGGCGCATCACAGGACACGGCTTCCCAGCCCATAACCCACACCCACACTGTGACTCGCTCAACAAGCCACAGCCTCTCCCTGACATGTAGAAGACTCTGCGGGGTGGGGCATGGGGTCTGGCCACAGCACGGGGGACACTCCCTGGGGGGGGGATGGTGACCCCAACCCTGTACGTGACTTCTGGACAGGTTTGAAAGTGGAAGGTCCTCCGCTGTGGGCTGTAGGCACACCCTTCCTGACCTCCGGCCCTCGCAGAGTCCGGCCGGCCTGTCCTCCAGCTCCACATGGCAAACAGAGCTCCGGGGCAGAGCTGAGAACACAGGAGGCGGGCAGTCCCTCCGAAGGAACGGGCCGACGCGCGACTTCTCGGTTCTCGGTCAGCTGCTGCTTATGTCCTGGCTCTCCTCCTCGTTGCCATCCTCTCTCCGCACAAGTCCTTGGCTGCAGTGGAACCACAGATGCTTCCCACACGTGCTCTTACTGGCTGACCCGGTTCCACACACCTTTCTCTGTTTATTTCCACCTTTTGCCAGAACGTTTCTTGACAAGAAGGGTCTTGAGACCAAATCCCACAAGAGGCACTGAGTCAGGTTCGCGCACCATCCTGTCATGCTTGTGGAGGGGACTTCCGGGATTTTATCAACAGTAGACGGCAGAGGGGACTTTCTCTTCCCTGCTAATCGTCGTAATCGAAAGGAAACCGCACAGAGCGCTGGGCGAGGTATCTTTCCTT